TAACTGTCCCATCCCACAGTCTGTGCTTGGCTCTCACCCTATCTGCCTCCCTCAGGAGGCTCCCAAATACCATGCCCTCTGGGTTCCTGTTCGTCTCCTTTAAGGAGCCACTCGACCAGGCTTTCACATGCTGGCATCCCCAGCACTGTCCTTGACACTCTTCCCACCTTCTACATGCACTCAGCTGACTCCTAAGCCTTTTAGCCTGGTCCTGGCCTCACTCCTGAGCCCCACGTAGGCATTTTCACCTGCATGCATAGATGTTACTAAACAGCGCTGTGCTCTAGGACCTGCAGCACAGGCATCATCTAAGAGCTTGTCAGAAATGCAGACTCGTTGGCCACACCCCAGAACCACTAAGTCCAAACCTGCATTTTAACAAAATGCCCAGGTGGTCCGAATACACAGTCAAGTGTGAGAAGCTCTGTGTACACAATGCTGGGTACAGAGGAGCCCAGTAAAGGGTAACACCATTATTAAAACCACCACCTCTTCCCTCCACCCTCAGCAAACTGCCTCTTCATCTTCCTCTCCCAGCTGCAGTTAAAATGACAACATCATCAACCCAAATCCCAAGCTAGAAACCTCAGACCATCTCTGTAATGATTGCCGAGTGCTGTTATTCTGACTTGAGAAGGCTCTCACAGGCCTAGCCCTCCCTCAGCCACACCGCACCCTATCTGTGAGCCAGGCTTTGTTTACACGTCCCTCTCCCTGGTAGACTGAGTTCTGTGAATAGGCCTGTTTTACTCACCTGATTCCCAACAGCGGGCACAGAGTCTGACACAGAGGCTTCAAAAGTTCAATGTTCGTTGAACGAATGAATGAACGAGCAGACGGGCGGGTGTGTTGTGGCGGGGGGATAAGTTACTTCAGGTGTGTTAGATGATAGGAACCAAAACTGGATGCAAAAATCACGCAGTGTTTTTTTCTTGATTTTATAAAGTTGTTCCAGGAATAAAATCAAGTAGGTGGGAAAATCTGACCCAGCACAGACGGAAAGATGGGAGAGGTTTTTAATGAAAATATTTCTCATTTTTTTCCAATTTATACCCCACTAACTTGCTGATAGGTGCAGGAACAGGTCCAAGGTCACTTCATGGGTCAGTGACAGAGCTGGGTGGAGTATACAATGGTTTAGATTGTTACAAGGTGGGTGGGGAAAGATAAGATGGCTAAAGATGAGCTAAGTGCCCGGGAGGGACCGGAATGTCCCAGAGGGAGGGGCACAGGGAAAAGCTGGAAGGTGGGCTCAAGCTCCCCATCCACATGGAGAGTTCATTCATAACTTTGCTTCAGGGTCTGGAAGAGCGCCTGTGGTGAAGGCAAAATGTACTGTGGGCTGAAAGTAGCTCAGGATGCCTTTATTCTAAGATTTCAAGCTGTGGACAAACCCACCACAACACCCAGCACTGCAAACAGTTCTAGGCGAGGTTTTAGTGGAAGGGCCAAGGTTCAACTTGCATGAGCCTCTCAATGCCCTGCCAGCTTGTCTCACCAACTAAACAGTCTTACTCCCAAGCTCCTGCAGCATCTAACATCACGTCTTGCACACAAGCATGGGTTTCACTAAATAGCTAATGCCAACTGCCTTGAGTTGGGAGCCTGTTCCCCCTTGCCTTACTTTGAGGGAAAGCTCAGCCCCCTATGCCTGCACTGACTCCCCAGCCTGTCTCTAAGTGTGTAGGAGCACAGTCATAATTCACCTTAACAAGGGAAGCTGTATAAACTCTCAATGGCCAGATCGCTCATTGGCAGAGAAACTGAGGCACAGGGAAGGGGAACCATGCATCACACTTGAGGCCCCAAACTCTGCTTCTTGGTCCCTGAGCCCAACCATTAATGCATAAGTTGTGGCAGGAGCTCCTCCTTTCTTTCCTGGGACAGCTGTGAAGCCAAGCCCCTGATAGTGGCACGACACTCATTTTTCTTTATCCCTCATCAGCACCTCAAAATTCTAACACTTCTGGAATGGGAATAATTCTCTCCCAAGCCTGACAGGTATCCATTCATTCATTTATTCATTCAGTGACATTTTACTGAAGTCTTACTATGTGCCAACAACCATTTTAGGGTCTAGAGATACCATCAGTGACAAAACAAAGAGCACTGTCCTTTGAAATTTATATTGCAGTGGAAGGAGACACACACACAGTAAATCAGTAAGTTGCAAAGATGTTAGAGGGTGATACGGGCTATGAGAAAAAGAAAAATTAGCACAGGGTAGGGGAGATCAGGAAGGTCTCAGGGAGGCATGGGGCTACAGTTTTAAATAGGGTGACAGGAAGGACCCACTGCAAAGGTGCGGTGGTAAGAGAGGGAGCCTGCTGCCTTCTGGGGGAGAACATTCCAGCCTGGAGAAACAGTCCAGACAAAGGCCCCAGGGTGAGTGTCCTGGTGTGTTCAAGGAACAGCAAAAAGATCACTGGGGCCATTTCTTCAACAATCATTTACCAAAGGCCCATCCCTTCTCCAGGCACTGAGTGGTGAGAATACTAATAAGCCTGACCCCTGCTCTCAAGGAGCTTATTATGTTGGGGGGTGGGTAGAGGGGGAATAAAAGTACTGTAAAGAGGATCACACCTGGGGCAGAAGGACTGGCAGAGCTAGGCTCACGACCCTCACCCAACTTGGGGGTGGAGAAGGGTCCAGGAAAGACTGTCAGAGAGACTCTGGGCTAGACAAGTCACCCCAGCTCTGAATTTGGTGCTGCTAACAAGGCTGACCAAGCTAACCTTGCTCAATTGTTTTTCTTAGCTAAAAAAGAAGCCTTCCAAAAACACCAGACTTGTAAAGAAAACCTTTTAAGTTGCAGCTGTACACTAGGTGTTTGCCATGTTCAGGGCAGCCTCAGATTAAAAAGGTAGATGCCAGATGGAAAGATCCTGGAGGGGCCACACTAGGGGGAACTTGGTGTGGCAATGAGTTAAGACTGCTTTTCCAAAACTCTGTGGACCAGGAAGTGATGGCATTACGTCCAGGGCCCGCTCTTTAGGGGTGACCATCACATCACACTCACATCTCCAGGGCAGCCTGCTGCACTGGGTAGATTGTGCCCGCTTTTCCTTGGAATCACCTTGGAAGCACCCCTCCAGGGCTGCGCCTTAGGCTACTGGCCTCTGTTAAGGAGGAGAGTCCAGTGGACTAAACTGCGAATCTGGACAGTTCCACTCAGCAGAGCTCTGGCCTAAGAGATGCTAGCTCTTTTTCCCAGCTCAATGAAAGGGCACTTCTTCACAAGACAGAGTCCAAAGACAGCCCTGCCAAGACCCAGGAAGCTCCCTGCAAGAGAGCTCGGCCCTATTGACCAGGGGCTGGGAATCCTGGCCAGGCCAATCCATACTGGTTGGATCCAGATCCTGGCTGAGATAATGGGAAGGTGCTATTGGGTGTGTCACCAGCAACAGTCCCAAAGACCACAGAGATGGTGAGAAGGAAGCCACCATGGTGAGTCCTAAGCAGGTTCCTCACCAAGCAACAAGGGAGAGTCTTCAAGCCCCAAGGCTGCTGGGTGGGGGTGGGACACAGATCCTCACTGCTTTTCTGTCCCAGGCTCCTGGGTCTGCACCCCCAAGACCACCCACCCCCACCTTCACTACCAGGTGTCTATGTCCCTCCAGTCTCCGCACTGAGGCCACCTTCACTAGGCTGTCTCCCACTTTGCCTTACATTACTCAAGTCATCCTCAGCTCTGACTATGAGACTCGGTCTGTCAAACCTAAAAAGGGAGGTACCAACCCACTACCCTGGCCCTGACCTGAACATCTTTTCAGATCAACCCGGCAAGGCCATTTCCTCCCTATCCCCCTCCAAGGCTGTCCTCCACTGTGTTCCAGAAGTTGCTCCCAGCCCTAGGTCTACCTGAGCGGCCTTAGCTCTACCTATAGAAAATGAAGGCTGGGAGGGCATTTACAAAGAAAAGTCCCCAGTTTTAGGATGACCCCCCCATTCCTTTATAAAGTGCTTCCTTTTCTGCCTCCTCACTTCCTTCAGCCTAAGAAGGTTTTACTCCATAATTGGCCTGTTTACCGCCACTCTGAGGGCTGCTGGGTGGGAGAGGCAGGAGGAGAGTATTGCTCGAAGTAAGGAAAGGGATGTGTGCCCTAACACTGAGGCTGGTGAGTAAACCCTCCAAGGGCCTCTTTAACTACCTAAGAACCGGCCAAGAGCCCACGTGAGGAGAACACACAAGGCGGCAGGGCCAGCTGGAGACTCCCAGTAACCACAGGAGGGAGGCTTACGTTTGGCGCCTGGGAAAGACAGAACAATAACCAAAACTTAATCTGCTGGCTTCTGCTGAATAGCTGAAAGCATTACTCGGCATTGTTCTGAGTGGGGAGCCAACTAGAGACTTCCCAATTCTCCTTCTGTGGGCTAGGAGCTCCAGTGACATCAGCCCCCTGCTCCATGTGCTGAGCAAATTCACTGTCCACTGCAGGGCCCCAAACTACCTCAGCATCTTCCCTACCAGATCATTGATCAGCAGAGCCAATATGCTAAACAGGACCACCTGCTGGGCCACAAACACATCCTTTGCTTCCCCACTAAGGTCCTTTGCCTACAGGGTTCCCTCTGCCTCAAGGACCAAGGCTCTTCCTCTCTGAAGGTTCCCCTCAAATGCTCCCTCCTCGGTACGGTTTCCCATTCCTCAGCCCCTTCCCCATCCCATCCCACACTCAAAATCTCCATCGCCCTGGTGTTGGCCTCTTTTCAGGCATTTGCCTTACTCTGTCCTGCTTCGGTAGATCCCTGAGGCCTGCCATGTCCCTCCAAGTGAGCAAGTGTGTCTCGCTCAGCTTTGATTCATCCAAAGCACGAAGCACACAGCGCAGTTCCTGGCCGATGCTGAAGAACTGCTGCTTCACCTCAGAGGTGAAATGATGGACAGAGGGACACAGAGTCACACAAATGGAACGCTAAGATCAGCAGACAAAAAACACACAAGAAGACAAAGAGGAATCACAAAGAAATTTAACCAGGGAAGCTGCATCAGGCCTTACCCTTCTTGAACTCCTCCAGCATGGCATCTAACTTGGTGTCATGGAAAACGAAGTGCACCGGGTGGTTGTAGAAGCGGGTGATGGTCTTGAGGGGGGTGCAGTCATCAGGGTCCACGAAAGCCAAGTCTTTGACATAGAGAATATCTACAATATTGGATTGCTCATCTTCAAACACTGGGATGCGGGTATAGCCACTTTCCATAATCTCCGACATCGTGTTGAAGTCCAGGACAGCATCGCTGCGGATCATGAAGCAGTCTTGGAGCTGGGTCATAATATCCTCCACGGTTTTGGTCCGTAGTTCCAGGGCACCCTGGATCATATTTAGCTCCTCTTTCACGAGGTCATTATAGGGCTCTGTGACCTTTAACATCTCCATCAGCTTCTCCCGATTGTAAACGGTGCCAATCTCCTGGCCAAGAACAAAGTCCAGGAGCTTGCTGATGGGAAAACTGAGCGGAAAGGTTAGAAGCATAAAGAATTTGGTGAGAATGATGGTGTTGGCACCCACAGCCAGCCCGTGCCGGGAGCACAGGGCTTGAGGTAGGATCTCCCCAAAGATAACAATGCCTATGGTGGAGGAGGCTACCGCCATGAGGCCAGACCCGATGAGGTTGTCTAGAAGGATAGTGAGGGAGGTGTTGACCAGCACATTCCCGAGGAGCAGCGAGCAGAGCAAGTAGTTGCCCTTGCTCCGGATGGGCTCGATCTTGCGGGCATAACTCCTCTCCTTCTCAGTGCCACAGTTCTGCACGATGCGCAGCTCCATGGGGTCCAGGGCCATAAGCCCCAGGTTGAGGCCAGAAAATATGCCCGACAGCACTAGCAGCACCATAATGAGGAGGATGTGCAGCCAGAGGGGCAGGAACCTCCCAGGCTCCTCCACCATGAAGAGCAGTGAGTCCTTGTCCATCCACTTTATCCAGGGCCCGTCAGCCCGGGCCCGGGTGCACAGTGCATACAGCTTCATGTTCTCGCTCCTCCGGAGGAACTTGGTGAGCACCACCAGCATCCCGGACGTGTTCCCGCGGCTCACGTTGACCAGCTGCTGGACGACCAGGTCCTTAGTGAGCTCGAGGCAGTTGGTGGACTCGTGGGCGGTCTTGGCGTCGTCCACCTCGGTGAAGGAGATCAGGTTGCTGGAGATGTTGTTCAGACTCAGGCCGTACAGCCTCAGGTTCACGGTGCTGCCCTCGGACACGAAGATGGTGCCATCCGGATTCATCCCACACGACTTGTTGCAGCTCTCCAGCCTCATGCCCACGATCGCGCCCCACTGGGAGTTGCCGTGGCCCCGGGCCCCCCGCGCCCACAGCGGCACCAGCAGCACCAGCGCCGCCAGGAGGAGGCGCCCTCGGGCCGGCCCTCCGCCCGGGCGCCC